GTATGTATATTGTTCTCACAACGTTCTTTATGTGACTGGTCATCTGTCCACACATATAGAGCAGAAACGTATGTATATTGTTCTCGCAACGTTCTTTATGTAACTGGTCATCTGTCCATATATAAAGCAGAAAGGTATGTATTTTGTTCTCACAACGTTCTTTATGTGACTGGTCTTCTGTCCACACATATAGAGGAGAAAGGTATGTATATTGTTCTCACAATGTTCTTTTTGTGACTGGTCATCTGTCCACACATATAGAGCAGAAAGGTATGTATATTGTTCTCACAACGTTCTTTATGTGACTGGTCGTCTGTCCACACATATAGAGCAGAAAGGTATGTATATTGTTCTCACAACGTTCTTTTTGTGACTGGTCATCTGTCCACACATATAGAGCAGAAACGTATGTATATTGTTCTCGCCAAATTCTTCAGAACTTTTAAAGAGTATTTTGGTTCTCGAACACCTCCTTTCTTGAACAGTTCGGTTTCTGCAGTAGAAAAACGTCTTGGTTTCCGAAAAAAAAAACAAATCTCCGGCTTCCGAATAAACAATCCTGAAAACATGCTCTTGACAGGGTGAATTTATGACGGAGAGCGACTTTCACTCAGTGCAGTTGAAACTGGGGCTAGAATGTGGAGTAATTGCAGTTGAGATTGGAGCTAGAATGTGGAGTCAGTGCAGTTGAGATTGGGGCTAGAATGTGGAGTCAGTGCAGTTGAGATTGGGGCTAGAATGTGGAGTCAGTGCAGTTGAGATTGGGGCTAGAATGTGGAGTCAGTGCAGTTGAGATTGGGGCTAGAATGTGGAGTCAGTGCAGTTGAGATTAGAGCTAGAATGTGGAGTCAGTGCAGTTGAGATTGGGGCTAGAATGTGGAGTCAGTGCAGTTGAGATTGGGGCTAGAATGTGGAGTCAGTGCAGTTGAGATTGGGGCTAGAATGTGGAGTCAGTGCAGTTGAGATTGGGGCTAGAATGTGGAGTCAGTGCAGTTGAGATTGGGGGCTAGAATGTGGAGTCAGTGCAGTTGAGATTGGGGCTAGAATGTGGAGTCAGTGCAGTTGAGATTGGGGCTAGAATGTGGAGTCAGTGCAGTTGAGATTGGGGCTAGAATGTGGAGTCAGTGCAGTTGAGATTAGAGCTAGAATGTGGAGTCAGTGCAGTTGAGATTGGAGCTAGAATGTGGAGTCAGTGCAGTTGAGATTGGAGCTAGAATGTGGAGTCAGTGCAGTTGAGATTGGGGCTAGAATGTGGAGTCAGTGCAGTTGAGATTGGAGCTAGAATGTGGAGTCAGCGCAGTTGAAACTGGGGCTAGAATGTGGAGTCAGTGCAGTTGAGATTGGGGCTAGAATGTGGAGTCAGTGCAGTTGAGATTGGGGCTAGAATGTGGAGTCAGTGAAGTTGAGACTGGGGCTAGAATTTGGAGTCAGTGCAGTTGAGATTGGGGCTAGAATGTGGAGTCAGTGAAGTTGAGACGGGCTAGAATGTGGAGTCAGTGCAGTTGAGAGGGGCTAGAATGTGGAGTCAGTGCAGTTGAGATTGGGGCTAGAATGTGGAGTCAGTGAAGTTGAGACTGGGGCTAGAATTTGGAGTCAGTGCAGTTTAGATTGGGGCTAGAATGTGGAGTCAGTGAAGTTAAGACGGGCTAGACTGTGGAGTCAGTGCAGTTGAGAGGGGCTAGAATGTGGAGTCAGTGAAGTTGAGACGGGCTAGAATGTGGAGTCAGTGAAGTTGAGACGGGCTAGAATGTGGAGTCAGTGAAGCTGAGATTGGAGCTAGAATGTGGAGTCAGTGAAGTTGAGACTGGGGCTGGAATGTGGAGTCAGTGCAGTTGAGATTGGGGCTAGAATGTGGAGTCAGTGGAGTTGAGACGGGCTAGAATGTGGAGTCAGTGCAGTTGAGACGGGCTAGAATGTGGAGTTAGTGAAGTTGAGACGGGCTAGAATGTGAAGTCAGTGAATTTGAGACGGGCTAGAATGTGGAGTTAGTGAAGTTGAGACGGGCTAGAATGTGAAGTCAGTGAAGTTGAGACGGGCTAGAATGTGGAGTCAGTGCAGTTGAGACTGGAGCTAGAATGTGGAGCGCCCGTTCATGATTATCTTGAGCCGCTGCTCTTGACTGTCTGGCCTGTTGGACAGACTGCTGGAGGGACTGGGTTCGATCACATTGAAGTTCTTGCACCTTCCAATGCAGGACATGTACCAGAAGGTGACCGCAGATTTTACTGTTTGACAAGTTTTGATCAGGCATCAGATACACAGTTAACGCCAACACAATTCAAGCACACACATTTTACATCTTGTGCCGCCAGCTCTCCACCAGGTTTCTGGTCGTGTTGGGAATCTGCAGATAAAATTGCTGACATTGTGAGTAAGTGCTGTCATTGTAAGTCAGTGCTGTCATTGTGAGTCAGTGCTGTCATTGAGGGTCAGTGCTGTCATTGAGGGTCAGTGCTGTCATTGAGGGTCAGTGCTGTCATTGAGGGTCAGTGCTGTAATTGCGAGTCAGTGCTGTCATTGCGAGTCAGTGCTGACATTGTGAGTAAGTGCTGTCATTGTAAGTCAGTGCTGTCATTGTGAGTCAGTGCTGTCCTTGAGGGTCAGTGCTGTCATTGAGGGTCAGTGCTGTCATTGAGGGTCAGTGCTGTCATTGAAGGTCAGTGCTGTAATTGCGAGTCAGTGCTGTCATTGTGAGTCAGTGCTGTCATTGTGAGTTAGTGCTGTCATTGTGTCAGTGCTGTCATTGAGGGTTAGTGCTGTCATTGAGGGTCAGTGCTGTCATTGTGAGTCAGTACTGTCATTGAGGGTCAGTGCTGTAATTGCGAGTCAGTGCTGTCACTGTAAGTCAATGCTGTCACTGTGAGTCAATGCTGTCATTGTGAGTCAGTGCTGTCATTGAGGGTTAGTGCTGTCATTGAGGGTTAGTGCTGTCATTGTGAGTCAGAGCTGCCATTGTGAGTCAATGCTTTCACTGTGAGTCAATGCTGTCATTGTGAGTCAGTCCTGTCATTGTGAGTCAGTGCTGTCATTGTGAGTCAGTGCTAACTTGACACAAATCAAAGTCGTAAACTTATGAGAACAATTAGACGAAGACAGAAAATATATTCTTAAGCAAAATGAGAAGGACTGGGCTCCAGAACTTGGTAACAACTGGTAGGATGGATGGAAAGAGAGCAAGAGGAAGGCAAAGAGATAAATACCTGGATGACCTGGCCAGAATGATGGGGAAGACAAAACATTAAAATGATCATTGGTTCTGATGATCGTGTGAGATGGCAAAACATCACAGCCTACGTTTACCGGCACAGCCCATGATGATGGTGATAATGATGATGATAATGATAATGAAACAAGCTCGACCATACTGTAGCAAGATGCGTGTGGGACAGGGCCACTTAATCATCATAGGTAGATGAGAGTGTTCTAGAAGAAATGCTTTGTAGGAAGATGGCAAAGTTTTATAACAAAAGTGTACAACAAAACTTGGACTGAAGCAAACCTCCAGTCAGTAGAGGAGACACACCTCATCGATTGCTTGATTTAGGAACGATATGATACACTTTTGGGCAAACTCAGAGATGTTTCAAGTTAGTGAAAATAGACTAACAGTACAGTGACCAAAAACAATGGACTGACAGTACAGTTGCCAAGAACAATGGACTGACAGTACAGTGACCAAGAACAATGGACTGACAGTACAGTGACCAAGAACAATGGAATGACAGTGCAGTGACCAAGAACAATAGAATGACAGTACAGTGACCAAGAACAATATACTGACAGTGCAGTGACCAAGAACAATATACTGACAGTGCAGTGACCAAGAACAATGGAATGACAGTACAGTGACCAAGAACAATGGACTGACAGTGCAATGACCAAGAACAATATACTGACAGTACAGTGACCAAGAACAATATACAGACAGTGCAGTGACCAAGAACAATAAACTGACAGTGCAGTGACCAAGAACAATATACTGACAGTGCAGTGACCAAGAACAATGGAATGACAGTACAGTGACCAAGAATAATGGACTGACAGTACAGTGACCAAGAACAATGGACTGACAGTACAGTGACCAAGAACAATGGACTGACAGTACAGTGACCAAGAACAACTGACTGACAGTAAAATGACCAAGAACAATGGACTGACAGTACAGTGACCAAGAACAATGGAATGACAGTGCAGTGACCAAGAACAATGGAATGACAGTACAGTGACCAAGAACAATGGACTGACAGTACAGTGACCAAGAACAATATACTGACAGTACAGTGACCAAGAACAATATACTGACAGTGCAATGACCAAGAACAATATACAGATAGTGCAGTGACCAAGAACAATAAACTGACAGTACAGTGATCAAGAACAATGGACTGACACTACAGTGACCAAGAACAATAAACTGACAGTGCAGTGATCAAGAACAATGGACTGACACTACAGTGACCAAGAACAATAAACTGACAGTACAGTGATCAAGAACAATGGACTGACACTACAGTGACCAAGAACAATAAACTGACAGTGCAGTGATCAAGAACAATGTACTGACCTCACTGTGACCAAGAACAATTGACTGACAGTACATTGACCAAGAACAATAAACTGACAGTACAGTGACCAAGAACAATAGACTGACAGTACGGTGACTAAGAATACTGAACTGACAGTACAGTGACCAAGAACAATGAACTGACAGTACAGTGACCAAGAACAATTGACTGACAGTACAGTGACCAAGAACAATAGACTGACAGTACAGTGACCAAGAATACTGAACTGACAGTACAGTGACCAAGAATAATGAACTGACAGTACAGTGACCAAGAACAATAGACTGACAGTACAATGACCAAGAACAATGGACTGACAGTACAATGACCAAGAACAATGGACTGAGAGTAAAACGACTAAGAACGATTGACTGACAGTACAATGACCACGAGTGAGAACATAAAAGAAAAGTCGCCTAGATCACCTACAGGGGCACTGGCAGCCCTGATACTGCTAGCGTCATCTGTCACAGCAGGGGGTCTACTGTCGGAGGTCAGTGGCAAGAACTGCAAGGCGTCGTGGTACAACAAGGACAGCAGATGTTCCAGGGCGGACCGCTTGCGCTGATCTATGCTGGAGCCCATCGTCTGAACAAATCCCATGTAGAGAAACTGCATCATCATCTGCAAAGTCGTAACCATTTTATCAAAATTATCGGGTTCAATCCTTCTGCTTTATATTCGAAACCGTTTTTCTTTCTGCAAGTCTTCTTCCCTTCCTGCCATATCCTTTACTGAGACACAGTCACATCTCTAGAATATAACTGTCCTATCCATTATTGAAGCATATCCTCATTACTCGCTAGAGCACTACCCCACCCCCCTCGTCAGAACACAGAGCTACCCCTCGCTAGAGCACTAACTCAACCCTCGCTAAAGCACTAGGTCAACCCTCGCTAGAACACTACCCCACCCCTCGCCAGAACACAGAGCTACCCCTCGCTAGAGCACTAGGTAATCCCTCGCTAGAGTACTAGCTAATCCCTGGCTAGAGCACTAGCTAATCCCTCGCTAGAGTACTAGCTAATCCCTCGCTAGAGCACTACCCCACCCCTCGCCAGAACACAGAGCTACCACTCGCTAGAGTTCTAGCTCATCACTCGTTAGAGCACTATATAATCCCTCGCTAGAGTACTAGCTCACCCCTCGCTAGAGCACTAGCTAATCCCTCGCTAGAGCACTAGCTAATCCCTCGCTAGAGTACTAGCTAATCCCTCACTAGAGCACTAGCTAATCCCTCACTAGAGCACTAGCTAATCCCTTGCTAGAGTACTAGCTAATCCCTCGCTAGAGTACTAGCTCACCCCTCGCTAGAGTACTAGCTAATCCTTCGCTAGAGCACTAGCTCACCCCTCGCTAGAGTGCTAGCTAATCCCTCACTAGAGCACTAGCTCACCCCTCGCTAGAGTACTAGCTAATCCCCCGCTAGAGTACTAGCTCACCCCTCGCTAGAGCACTAGCTAATCCCTCGCTAGAGCACTAGCTAATCCCTCGCTAGAGTATTAGGTCAGTGCTTGCTAGAGCACTAGTCCAGGCCTCGCTAGAGCACTAGTCCAGCCCTCGCTAGAGTACTAGTCCAGCCCTCGCTAGAGCACTAGCCCAGGCCTCGCTAGAACAGCCCACTTTCGTCCACTTATTTTCTCCATCAGGGCCTGTATTTAGCGTCACTGACTACGATCCGGACCTCCTCGCTGGCAGCAGAGCCCAGCTAAAAAGACAGGACTGAGTACAAAATTAGGCCATGAGACTTATACTCGCCTGCACAAAAGACACCCCTGCAACGCTATGCGATATGTCCTAGGTTTGCCGATGATGACTAACAGACACAAAGTTGCACAGGTCAAGGCGTGCATGAGGGTATTGGCAGACGTTAACCACTCACTGCACAAGCTATACACGACACAAAAGGAATACGTCTCAAAATACGAATACACTAATAGACATGCATGGTATCTTTAAGGCTGTCATGGAGGTACTGTAGATCTCAGATGCCTGTGGCCGTAGACACAGAGGTAAGTAAGGGCGTTGATAGATCAGCATTCACGCCCAAAAGACATCATAATCTACAATGATAAAGCCGTAAAGGACGGATCAAGATCAGCATGGGCATACCCAGCACAAAGGTTGTGGAAAACAATACAAAATGACAACGGCGCCTAGCAGGCAGCCACGTCAAGCATAACCATGGAGAAAGCTGCTGCTTCTAGAGCACTAGCATGGGCAGCAGAGCAAACAGCCACACAGGCAGTCATTTTATCAGATGCTTTAGAAGTCAACAACAGGCAGTATGTGCTCTGAATGGGTAGAAAGCGTTCGAAAATGGCAAAACACCCCCCCCCCCCCCCCCCAAACCTGGATCTACACACCTGGTCCTCCTGGTGTAAAGAGCCAGAGGACCAACTGGCAAGCAACGTAAAAACGCATGTGGGAAGTAGCATGGACAAAGCAGATATCAGTGCTGTACGGGCTGGGCTAGTGAATAAATGAAACATCTTTGACACTAACACGATTGCCTGAACTGGGAGTAAAGCAAGGTGAAGCATATCTATGCCGCCTCCTACGCCGAGATTGCAGACATTGTAACCAACCTTTCATGGGGACAATTAGAATTGTCTTGGAGTGGTTCCTGCATTAGAATTCTGAACATGCACGGGAATGCCCAAGGTGCAGTGGCGTTGACTGCGATAACATAACGTGACATAACAAAACAATGGCCCAGGTGTAACAGGGAGATGACATTACTTGTTTGTCAGGAGGTACGATATAGCGTATTAGTTGAAGGGACTGGAATCAACAGGTCTTTCAAAATTAACATTCATTTTTTAGAACCATCACCTGCAGAATGAATAATATATAAATAGTATATGAGGTAATGTTTTTAAACGTGCCCTAACAAAGAGAACGCAGAAGTACCCTTTCTAGAAGTCTCACAGAAGGCCAACTGTCAATTTATTTGGCGTATTTTGGTGCAAAGTTATCTGATGCAATAGAGATGTAATTCGAAAATCCAACGTGAGAACGCAAATAGTAAACACGTTTTCGCATACAAGAATATTCTAGAAGCAGTTAGTGAGTAAAAAACACATTGCGCACATACCAGCGTATCGGTATAAATCGTGGGTACGAGGCCACTTGAAAAACCATCAGTCTACCGGGCAGAAGAGGCGGGACTAGTCATATTGACCCTCATATGTTAGGAAGAATCTTGAACCTTCATTTAACGAGGCTTAGAAGAGGAGGGACTAGTAACATAGACCCTCAAAGAGAACCTTCAGCCGTTGAGACTCAGAAGACTAGGGACTAGTCTCATGGACCCTCGCAGTTGTGGAGATGCTAGCTCAACACTAGAGGAAAAGGAGCCAGTCACATTGAGCCTCGAAGACAGACATAGATGAAGTCAGACATATATGAAGACAGACATAGATAGGAGACATGGAACGAAACATCGAACTACAGAGACAATGGACAAGATACATGGATCCAATTTCAACAGAGACACATAAGATAGTAACACTATTAAGATGTCAGAGTCGACGATTAGGCCGTTAGTACCAGACAGCTCTAGAAGCCAGGTGGCAGTTACAGACACCAGATAGATAAAGAACACAACGAGACCTCAAGAGTATGTAACCCTAGAGCTAAAGCAGTGGTAATTCAGAATACCATTAATGTTATTTGTGACATTACTAAGGTATCACAATAAAGCCAGCCCAGAGAAGAAAAGTTGTTTCCAGACATTTTATTTGTCAAGCATTACAGACGTGAGAAGCATGCAGCAAGCGAGACATCATCATCATCACCACTATGGACACGACCATCTTTCTTCTCGTCTGTATTCTTCATTGATTCCTTCTGTAGCAAAGTAAATCGAACCTGGGTGTGACATCAACATGCACAAAGAAAAGATATGTGCTACACAGCCTCCGCTAGACAACTGGGCCATACCTCGCTAGAGAACTGGGCTACCCCTAGCTAGAGAACTGGGAGACTTCTGCCTAGAGAACTGGGTTACCCCTGCTTCGAGAATTGGGCCACCCCTGCCTAGAGAACTGGGCTACCCCTGCCTCGAGAATTGGGCCACCCCTGCCTAGAGAACTGGGCTACCCCTGCTTCGAGAATTGGGCCACCCCTGCCTAGAGAACTGGGCTACCACTGGCTAGAGAACTGGGCTACTTCTAGCTAGAGAGCTGGACTACCCCTGACTAGAGAGCTGGACTACCCCTGGCTAGAGAACTGGGCTACTTCTGGCTAGAGAGCTGGACTACCTCTGGCTAGAGAGCTGGACTACCCCTGGCTAGAGAGCTGGACTACCCCTGGCTAGAGAGCTGGACTACCCCTGGCTAGAGAGCTGGACTACCCCTGGCTAGAGAGCTGGACTACCCCTGGCTAGAGAGCTGGACTACCCCTGGCTAGAGAGCTGGACTACCCCTGGCTAGAGAGCTGGACTACCCCTGGCTAGAGAGCTGGACTACCCCTGGCTAGAGAGCTGGACTACCCCTGGCTAGAGAACCTGGCTACCCCTGGCTAGAGAACTGGGCCAAACCACGGTATATAACTGGGCCACCCCTGCCTAGCGAGCTGGGCTACCCCTGGCTAGAGGACTGGGCGACCCCTGGCTAGAGAACTGGGCTACCCCTGCCTAGAGAACTGGGCTACCCCTGGCTAGAGAACTGGGCTACCCCTGGCTAGAGAACTGTGCTACCCCTGCCTAGAGGACTGTGCTACCCCTGGCTAGAGAACTGGGCTACCCCTGGCTAGAGAACTGGGCTACCCCTGCCTAGAGGACTGTGCTACCCCTGCCTAGAGAACTGGGCTACCCCTGGCTAGAGAACTGGGCTACCCCTGGCTAGAGAACTGGGCCGTTTTCATGTCTTCCTCGATCTCATTTATCCCATAGATTTCTGTGCAAGGCCAGAAACAAAAGAAGACAAGACAAAAATAAAAGAGACAACGAAACAAGAGACGGGGAAGAAAAGACAGTCTCCAAACTCAATGACACCACCTCAACATGGATCTTCTCAATGCCGGCGACTCGCAGATGACTTTCTTTCAAATCGCCGAGGAACTCCTGTAACTTAGTCTCGTCTGCCTGCAGAAGAATGTACTTGATGATGGCATTAATGTATGCCTTGAGGAAGCCCTGGAACCAAGGATCGCTGGTGCAGCCGAGAGCATATTCCGGGTCCAGGAAAGCAGCATTGATGAACATCTGTTTGACACTGGGGTGAACTTGGAATAATCTATTAGATACAACATAAATATCATTATTTATCTATCTATCTATCTATCTATCTATCTATCTATCTATCTATCTATCTATCTATCTATCTATCTATCTATCTATCTATCTATCTATCTATCTGTCTGTCTGTCTGTCTGTCTGTCTGTCTGTCTGTCTGTCTGTCTGTCTGTCTGTCTGTCTGTCTGTCTGTCTGTCTGTCTGTCTGTCTGTCTGTCTGTCTGTCTGTCTGTCTGTCTGTCTGTCTGTCTGTCTGTCTGTCTGTCTGTCTGTCTGTCTGTCTGTCTGTCTGTCTGTCTGTCTGTCTGTCTGTCTGTCTGTCTGTCTGTCTGTCTATCTGTCTATCTATCTATCTATCTATCTATCCATCTATCTATCTATCTATCCATCTATCTATCCATCTATCCATCCATCCATCCATCCATACGTCAATCTTTCGGTGGTACATCGGCTATTTGTCTTCACACCATGCCCCGATAGCGATAACGGTACAATATTCCCTTCTAGACATAGCGTTTCCTACCACAACGTTTTTGTTACCTGCGGAGAAAAGACTGCTGGAGGAAAGGGGATGGTTACCTCACCTCAGTAATGGCGATACTATGTGCAGCCTACACATGACGTCTCCTACCACAAAGTTTTCGCTAACTGTGGACACAAGACTAGGAGGAAAGGGAGTGATTACCTCACCTCATGATGTGGCCACTTCGACAGAAGTGTCGAAACCAGCGGTGTGTGCGGTAAGAGAGACTAGGACCTGCCATTTGCGGAGAGGCATGTTTGGGTGTGAGGAGGTCATTACTGATCACAACACGTACAGACCGGAAAGCACTGGGTCAAGGTCGGCCATGTAAACTTCAGTTTTTCAGTGTTTCTATGAGAACAGATTCCGACGAAATTCCCATAGGAAAGATATTTAATGGAATGCAAAATAGTTACACATTAAAACCACCAGTGACTGTATGAAAAAAAATGCCATAAATGGGACAAATATTAAGCCATAACATTACAGAATTGAGTGAATAGTTGTCTTTCTCGCCGTGGCTAGAGTACACGTGAATGGATACAACACTGGAGAATGGCAGACACAACCGCGAACATCTTACTTGTCGTACATACAGCTGACCATAACCAGGTCCAACTGTTCTGTCCGCAGTGTGTTCATGATGTGTTTCACATCGGCCAGCTCCTCGGGGCTCAGTTTTCCCGGGGGAGGCCCCAAGCCAAACTCTGGAGTGGTGTAGACAGCGCTGGATCTGAACAGACTGGGTCGTCTGGGACTGTCCACATTTTTGCTTTCCCAACATCCCATAGTACATCACTTACAAGTGGGGCATGTGCGCCAGCAGCTGGTCTAATGATGCTACATCCCAACAAACAACAGTCCACTGGAAAATACTGCAGGCTAAGCGGGTCAAATATTAACCAGGGAGTGGAAGGCGATCACTTGTAGAGAATGCTCTACTGTGTAAAAAATGTGTTCCTTGCAGAACTGTTACCGTATAAGGGAAGTCTACACGAGTTCAAACTGTTCAACAGTGGTGCACAAATGTACACATGTTGACGAAATTCGGCTGCAAGTAATCATTTTGTCATTTACTGGATCAACTTCTCGCTGTCCACACCAAAACCCGCACTGCACTCCAGACATGTTAGCAGGTGCTCGCTCAGATTTCCTCCAGAAAGAATCCCCCATCAGCGAGGCTGTTAAGTGTGTTGTTCGAGACTAGCCCTAGAAACCTGCTTTAGCACACTGTTACAGTGGCATGTCTAATGTCTCCAGACAAACATACATACAGGGTGCGCCTCCCCTCTTCGTCATCTGATCCAAGTGTCCACAGGATTGTCGGTATGCTCTTTCTAATACGTTGTTTAAGTTGCCTTCCATGTCTGTACTACTGTTGATGCCGTCCTTCCACACATGTGAGGTCTATTCCTTGCCCTGTGCTCGTTACAAGTCTTCAGCCTGGCTCTCTGTGGCAGTTAGTATTGTGGCATTCTTGTTTAGTGGCCAAACAATCTCATCTGTTGCTCTTGAATGAGTGGTGTCAGTTCTAGTCTTCTCATTTCTTTATATTCAATTTTATCACTTCTGACAACACCTGCAATTCTCCGATACCTCACATCTGTTAAAACGTTCTGCTCATTAGTTGAATCGTTGTCTGATAGCGGTGCTATAATATTTGCCAAAATAGTTTTTGAGATGTGTCTGCGAATCTTTCTAAGTGTAGGCAGAGTTTTTAAGAAGTGTCTGAGAATCTTTCTAAGTGTAGGCAGAGCTTTTGAGATGTGTCTGAGAATCTTTCTAAGTGTAGGCAGTGGTTTTAGTTGACGCAGTATCTGACTGGCTTGAGCAGGTGTATGTTGACTTGTGTATTAATTCTTCCATGCCAAGGTGAACATGTCATAGTGACATCTACATTCACTTAGATCAAGATAGGGAAGTAAATTCAGAGTTATTTCCTCCAGCCGTTTCAACGATCGACATGCCTGTGTATCTTAGCGAAGAAGTGCAGTGATTTATCCCCAAGAGTCAACAGAAAACCAACACACAGATAACTTATCAACAGCCAGTTCACGCCAGTCACATCTGGTCACTGATAAGGGCTTAGAGAGAAATGGATCGCAGCATTTGTGATGAGATGACAGAAAACAGATGGCATTAGAGATACGACGTGTCTTTTACGGAAAAAGGGGGCGGGGGGTGTGGAGACATCATGTAAGATGAGAGGATGAGTTCAGATGGCGTCAGAGATAAGACGTGTTTGTTACAGAGAAGAAGGAGTTTACAACGTGTGAGATGAGATCATGAGAACAGATGACGTCAGAGATGATGAGAACAGATGGCCTCAGAAATAAGACGTGTTTGTATTCTCCTCAATGTTATCTTCCCAGGATAGGGCTAGTATTCTCCTCAATGTTATCTTCCCAGGATAGGGCTAGTATTCTCCTCAATGTTATCTTCCCAGGCTAGGGCTAGTATTCTCCTCAATGTTATCTTCCCAGGATAGGGCTAGTATTCTCCTCAATGTTATCTTCCCAGGATAGGGCTAGTATTCTCCCCAATGCTATCTCTCCAGGATAGGGCTAGTATTCTCCTCAGTGTTATCTTCCCAGGATTGGGCTAGTATTCTCATCAATGTTATCTTCCCAGGATAGGGCTAGTATTCTCCTCAATGTTATCTTCCCAGGCTAGGGCTAATATTCTCCTCAATGTTATCTTCCCAGGATAGGGCTAGTATTCTCCTCAATGTTATCTTCCAAGGATAGGGCTAGTATTCTCCCCAATGTTATCTCTCCAGGATAGGGCTAGTATTCTCCTCAGTGTTATCTTCCCAGGATAGGGCTAGTATTCTCCTCAATGTTATCTTCCAAGGATAGGGCTAGTATTCTCCTCAGTGTTATCTTCCCAGGATAGGGCTAATATTCTCCTCAGTGTTATCTTCCCAGGATAGGGCTAATATTCTCCTAAATGCAATCTTTCCAGGATAGGGCTAATATTCTCCTCAGTGTTATCTTCCCAGGATAGGGCTAATATTCTCCTAAATGTTATCTTTCCAGGATAGGGCTAATATTCTCCTCAGTGTTATCTTCCCAGGATAGGGCTAGTATACTCCCCAATGCTATCTTCCCAGGATAGGGCTAATATTCTCCTCAATGTTGTCTTCCCAGGATAGGGCTAATATTCGCCCCAATGTTATCTTCACAGGATAGGGCTAATATTCTCCCCAATGTTATCTTCCCAGGATAGGGCTAGTATTCTCCCCAATGCTATCTTCCCAGGATAGGGCTAATATTCTCCCCAGTGTTATCTTCCCAGGATAGGGCTAATATTCTCCTCAGTGTTATCTTCCCAGGATAGGGCTAGTATACTCCTCAGTGTTATCATACTAGGATAAGATTGGTATCCTCCTCAGTGTTATCTTAAACCAAAGCCGCTGGCACAAGTTTGGTATATGCTGCCCAACACTTGTCACTTACAGAGAACTGACAGTACAAAGGCGTAACTAATGATAAAGGAGCAATCTATTCATATGTATGTCTGTGTGTGTGTGTGTATATATATATATATATATATATATACACACACACACACACATATACATACATACATATACGTACACATGCATGCATGCACGCACACACACACACACACAAGATATGTTAAAGGTAAATGTCTGACAAATGTCATATTTTAAATCACAGAAAGACGTGATCACAACAGTTCAATAAAGACCCCAGACCAACTCCATAAATGTCATGAATCATCAATAAGGTTATCATGTTTATTCTGTGTAGCTAGACTGGCTGCATGTAAAATACACATTCATTTTATCAGACATGCAAAATGTAACAAACATGATCATGTAATCAGACATGCTACATGTAACAAATATGATCATGTAATCAGACATGCTACATTTAACATATATGATCATTTAATCAGACATGCTACATGTAACAAACATGATCATGTAATCAGACATGCTACATGTAACAAATATGATTATGTAATCAGACATGCTACATGTAACAAATATGATCATGTAATCAGACATGCTACATGTAACAAATATGATCATGTAATCTGACATGCCACATATAAAAATATGATCATGCAATCTGACATGCCACATGTAACAAATATGATCATGTAATCAGACATGCTACATGTAACAAATATGATCATGTAATCAGACATGCTACATTTAACAAATATGATCATGCAATCTGACATGCTACATGTAACAAACATGATCATGTAATCTGACATGCTACATGTAATAAACATGATCATGCAATCTGACATGCTACATGTAACAAATATGATCATGCAATCTGACATGCTACATGTAACAAACATGATCATGTAATCTGACATGCTACATGTAACAAACATGATCATGCAATCTGACATGCTACATGTAACAAATATGATCATGCAATCTGACATGCTACATGTAACAAATTCATTAATCTAATCTGACATGCCACATGTAACAAATATGATCATGTAATCAGACATGCTACATGTAACAAATACATTAATCTTATCTGACATGCCACATGTAACAAATATGATCATCTGAGGCAAGCCTTTCTGTGATTATTATTTATCATCCTACAAATATATTATTCTCTCTCTCTCTCTTTATATATATATATATATATATATATATATATATACATTATCCCTTATGATTAGCTTCATACATCATATTTATTTACGTGAATATATGTTCATGAATGACTGTAGACAGATTCAAAAGAAAAATAAACAGAAGAGTTTGAGCAAATAGACCACAAGAGTCTGTTCAACTGACAGTCTGGTACATGTCGCTGCATCTTGTCAAGGGCACACAACACAGTGAAACAAGCTGCAGCAAAGAAATATGGGAAAACATGGCAGGCAATAGACTGTGCAACATATGGTTTGGTGTCTTGGTTCAAATGTATGAAAAAACATTATCTTAATATACAAACATTTATATATCTAATCACTCATAAAAAGAATTATAATTTTAGCAACCCTCCCTGTGGCTTTTAAAAAAGGAATAAAAAGAAAGTTTTATGTATGATAAATAAATTTATTTAAAAAAAAATATTCATAAAATAATGTGAAAATCTGGCACGGTATATGAAGGCAATATATGGGTAGAACAGTATATGTAAAATATTTATGAATGAATACAACTGGACAAACATCTCCCCAAAGAACAAAAATAACTAGTAGCTTTAAAGCAATAAAAATATCAAGTACCTTTAAAACAATAAAAATAGAAAATGTATAACTACCATGGCATTACAGGTGACAGAAATCATAAATCATCTGAAAATATGACAGATGACTCAGCCCTGACAATCACTGCTCTCATGAACAAATAACATATCAGATTGATGACTCAGCCCTGACAATTACTGACCCCATGAACAAATAACATATCAGATTGATGACTTAGGCCTGACAATTACTGACCTCATGAACAAATAACATATCAGGATTGATGACTCAGCCCTGACCATCACTGACCTCATGAACAAATAACATATCAGGATTGATGACTCAGCCTTGACAATCACAATCCTTTCCTTGAACCCAGTATGTACAACAAGTGACCGATAGCCATGATCAATGATAATGTTGTTTGGGATAGAGCATGCAATAGATACAGCTGCTCTTGGTACCTTTCCTTGAACCCAGTGTGTACAAGTGACTGATAGCCATGATCAATGATAATGTTTGGGGTAGAGCATGCCATAGATACAGCTGCTCTTGGTACCTTTCCTTGAACCCAGTGTGTACAACAAGTG